CACGGCGACGGCGGCGGCTGCGCGCGGGCGCCCCGAGTGGGCCCAGGCTCGCCCGGAGCCTCTCCGGGAAGACGACACGCCGCACGCTGGTTACACGCTGCAAGACTTGGGGACCTTTCGACATAATTGTTCGTTCTCAGGCGTGATGATCCTTTAAACCGACTGCAAGCTTTCAAGCCGTCTGAACCCTACCCCTTCCCATACAAATAGCCTATAGACCCCGGCCACGCTGGCCACCCTCTGGGCTCTGCCGGCCCGTGGACCCCTCCTCCTCCTGCTGCTGGATCCAAGGCCCCCGGGAGGGAGGAGGTTTTGGTGGTCCGGGCTTCGGGCGAGCAGCCCCGCCTCCTCGAGTAGGTGCTGGGGCCGCAGCCCTCCCCTACTCTGGGCTGCCTTGTGCCCTTGGTGCGAGCTGTTGGGCCGGGGGCGGGTTCTTCCACACATAGGCCTGGATCATAGAGTAGGCGCCTGGCTGGTAGACCTGTCTTTGAACGAAAGAAAACAAACGAGAGTTGGGGATGGCCGGGTGGGGAGTCCTGGAGCCCGGTGGGATCACCATGGACTCTCCTGGTGTGCTAGGCGCGCGTGGCTGGCGCTAGTGTACACTGCCCTCTACGGATGAGTGCGGACCGCAGCTGCCGGCTTCTCTCTGGAAAAGCCTGGTGATACCAGGCGCTCTACCAGCAGGCCCCAGAGTGCCTCCCTGTTCTTGGCTGCACGGGGTGGCCTAGCGCTAGCTTAGCTCAGCTAGCTTAGCTCTGGGTCCCGTCAGATCCCTGAATTCCTGTGTGGCAGGGGTAGGTGGAGGTCATGTGTGTGGCTGTCCTGGGGTGTTTGTGTGTGCTGCAGAACCGTGCCATGGGAGGTTATTCCTGAGACGTTGATGAACCATCTGTTCGGCGCCCCTGTTGAGGAACAAGAGAGATGCCACCATCTGGGGAACATGTGACCTTTTGGTGGACGACTTGGGTTTAGTCAGCCCTTACAGCAGAGGAGGCCCAGGGTTTATGTGTAGGTGCCTGCCCCTGCATGTGTGACGATGCATGAAACAATGTGGTGGGGACTATCTGCACGGCAGAGCCAGCCTCCCTGGGTTCTAATCCCACCTCTGCAGTCTCTAGCCACGGGGCCTGGCATGGCTGGTTCCTATGCTGTTGTCACAGAGATACCACAAGCGGGGGTGGGGGGTGGGGGTGGGGTGTCTTAGCAGACAAACAGATCTGCTTAAGGTTAAGGCCAGAAGTCAGAACTGGGGCACTGGCTCTGGGGCTGTTGGCAGGGTGGGGGGTCGGGGGTTGTCCTCCAGCTTCCACAGCCTAGTCCAGGAGATTTCCTTGAGTCTCGACCTCTGTCCTTGCCTGTTTCTGCTCACTATCTGACCTTTTTCTCTGTCAGTATCTCAAGACCAGAGCTGTTTCATGACTATCACGAAGACAACCGATTCCCATTTGGGGGCAACACCACAGCCTGGAGGTTAGGATTGCAACGCAGGTTTTGGAGGGGGAACCAGTTTTACCAGTAACGAGCGTGTGATGAAGCTCTCTGCCTCAGCTTCTTCCCCTGTGAAATGGGACCAATAAGTCCTTCCAGCCTGCCTTGTTTTGAGATTATCTGTATGGTTCTAGGTCAAGTGTTAAGCGTGATCCCCGTATGAGGTATGGAAACTGTCACTCTCATCGGAGAGTGCCTGGCCGTGGGCGGTGGCTTCCTGTGAACCCATGTAGAGGAGTACAGGCCAGAGAAGGCCCAGCAGAGAGGGCGGTCTGCAGGCCTGAGTGTGGGTGATGGGGCTAGGAGCAGCAGGCACTCATCTCTTGACCGAGTCCATGGTCCAGGCCAGAGGAGGCAGTCCGGCTGGGCCGACTCCTGCAGAACTTGTCCTCCAGCAGTACTCTGTAAATGCACAGCTGTTGGCCCACGTGCAGCCCACCCCTCACGGACAACCCAACAGGACTGCTTGAGGAAGCCATCCTCCCTCCCCACAGGCTGAGACCTCCTCTAGGCCACTCCACACTCCTTCCCAGCACCCTCCATTCTTATGTAAAAACACCTGTGGTACATTGACTTGAACAATACCTGATGATGCTGATGCTGAAGCCCGTTAAGCCCCGTTGGAATGCTGACTTGGCCCAGCAATCTGGCCTCCCTGTTTTGCAGATAGGGAAACTTAGGCTGTTTCCCCAACTCGAGGCAAAGGCAGGGGTCATAACCTGGATAAGCCTTGACCTTGTGTACTGTGTTGTAACACCCCTGTCTCCTTATCCTTGTGACCCCTCCCAACCATGGGGCTGCCCCTAGCAAACCAGCCGGTGCCCCAGAAGTTCCAGACTGGCCTGAGGTGAGGGAGGCAGGTCTCACCAACCCTTTGTAGCTTCAGACTCTTCTGTGCCTCAGTTCCCCTGCCTGGGTGGAACCCTGGTTAGAGAGCCAAAGTGTCTGTGATGGGTTGCCAGGGACATGGGCTGGCCTCTGGGCCCGTCATGACTGGCAGTTTGGGTTTCACTTTCTAGGCACTAGGTTCAAAATGAAACTAAACCTAGACTCCAGGAGGCAAACAGAGTGACGCTGACGGCCAGCCCTTGGGAAGGAAGGGCTTGGCTTTATTTGGAGAATGAGGCGGGAGTAAGATGTCTGTGAAGTCAGTCTCCGCTGAGACAAGCTGGCCAGAGCAGCAGAGATGCAGGAAGAGAGGGGCCAGCTAGGAACAGAAGCTGAGTGCCTCAGAGCTGGCACCCCAAACTCAGATGCGTCACCTCCTCCATGGTGAAAAAAATCCATGCAGGTGTGTGGAGAACTGACAGCGAGCAGAGCCAAGAAGAGGGTTACTACTGCATCAAAGGTGTCTGTTTCCAGGGTGACTCCCCACACAGTGCTCTTCCCTGCAAAGCAGGAGGGTACCAGCTCTCTTCAGGGGCCATTTGTGTAGCCGTGTCTAGGCTACACAAGGATTGCAGGCCATGGCTGGAGCACTGCTGTTGGATAGGTCATCAGCTCAAGCATTCCCGGACTCTGCCACAACCGAGTGTCTCCTTGATTCGTTCTCAGGGTACATCCTGAGTACATCCCTGTAGTGCCACAGTGACAGCACTTGCCTCCTCTCTGACCCTCACCCCTGCCCATCTGGCCTAGCTGTGGGGCCTCTGTGCTGAGTGGTCTCTAGACAGGCCTCTACAGGGCCCTGGTAATTCTGCCCAGTTTCCAGGCCTCTACTCCAGTGTCACCGCCTTGTTTTGGGAAATCCACCCTCCATCCCAATCCTTGGTCCTGCCGGTTGTCCAGTTCCCTCCATAGCACTGGCTCTGATCTGAAATGAGGCGATGAATCCATTGTTTGGCTCCATATGTCTGCCTGACGACCCCTGACCCTTACTTAATAGTTAACCCCCACAGATGAAATACTTCAGGAGCGAAATCACTCCTTATAAAGGCAAGGGATTTGGAGTAGATCCCACAATCCAGACTCTCAGTCGCCAGCAAGGAGTGCTCCTGGGGCATAGCCTCCCCTGGGAACTGGGAGGGCCTAGGCTGCTGGGGCAGAGGGCAGTTTCAGGATGACAGCACTGGCCCTGGCAAGGGGCTGCTTTTCCCAGCAGGCTCCCACCAGAGCAAGAAAGGGAAAGTGAAAACTCACAACTCTGCCTAGGGCCTGGGGTCTGCCTACTGGCCTGGCCGAGCAGGGCCCTGCCAACTGCCACAAGACCAGAAACGTCTCTACATCTGGGCCCATTTTGTAGGCCCAGAGAGGGCAGGTGCCTTGCCCAAGGCCACGCAACTGGGAAGCAGCAGACCCAGAGTCCAGACCCAGCTGGGTGTCGACTATGGAGTCTAGTCCTAGGGCTACCACGCTACCCACAGCTTAGCCTCCAACCTACCAGGGAGAAGAGGCCTATTACAATTCTCTAACTCCAGACCTGCTGCCAGTGAGTCAACTCTGACTCCTAGTGACCCTAAGAGACAGAGTAAAACTGCCCTCGTGGGTTTGTAAGACCAATTCTTTATAGGAGCGGAAAGCTTGTTTCAAACCATTGAACTTGAGGTTCCCAGGGTGGAACCACTATGTCACTAGGGCTCCAGTGCTGCAATAACAGGTTAAGTAACTCCCCGGTTAAAAGGCTAGAAGTCTGAATTCAGGGTACCAGTTCTGGGGGTGACTTTCTCTCTCTCTGTCGGCTCTGGGGGAAGGCCCTTGTCTCTTAGCTTTTACTCCTGGACAGTCTTCACACTCCCTTAGCATTTCGCTTCCCTCATCTAAGACCCATCTCCCTCATTCACATAACAAAACCCATTTCCAAATAGGGGAGCCACAAATGTGGAGGCTAGGATTTATAGCACATCTATTTCATGCTGCATTCTGCCCCAGGACCTCCAAGATTCTCGTCCTGGGCCACATGCCGAACACATTCTCCTCATCACATCATCTTAAAACCCTATTGGGTTGTGCTTTGGTTTCCTCTTTAACAATTTCCCACAGGTTGTTCTGCTCCATTGGTTACAGTCGTTACCGTGTGTGATCATACCTCTGCCTAGTTTCTATCCTGTTTGTTGTGTTTCCATTGACCTAAGCCTCCCTATCTGTCTGTCTATTTAGTCTCATGTAGTTGTTTACTCCTGGTGGTATGTTTATTTTATGAGCCAATCTGTTGTTGAGTTGAAAGATGGCAAGAGTTTCAGGGCTTCCTTTCTGTCCCAGTGGTCCAGGAAGACTGGCCTTTTGAGGACTTAGTCTTTTCTCCCATTCTATCCAAGACCTCCTGATGCGACAGGAGTGGTAGCCAGATACCACCTTTTTTTTCTTCCCAACAAAGAAATGTGCTTTCCTTACTTTTCTTTTAATGTTTGTCTTTTTGTGATTGATTGATTTCACACTCAGTGTAATGTTCTCCACATTCATTCATATTAAAAAGAAGTGCTTTGTGACCCCCTCGCCCTTCTTCCTAGGTACGTAGGATTCATTCCAATGGACCACTGTGTGCTTGTTTGCTCATCCACTGACGGGCACTTAGGGTGTTTCCATCTTCTGGGTTGAGTGAACAGTCCAGCAGTGGACACAGGTGTGCATATGTCTATTCATATTACAGATTAGGTCTACACTTAACAAGCTATGCAGTTTGTGCTCTCTGGGCAGGGCTCTTTACATCCCTGTTCAATGGTCCAAGGGACCCTGTGAGGTCTCTCTAAGCAGATTTTAGGCTTTTACTGTCACCACAGTCTTATGCAAGTGGGGTGCTCAGAATTTAAGCTTCAATACACTTCCCTCCTCTGATCTTGGATTTCGTTATTTACAATCCTTGGGGTTTACCATTTTACATGCCCACCAATCACCCCACAACCTGGCCAGCATTTAATTTTCTTTTATTTTGAAAATCATAAATCAACTGAAGTCTGAAGTCAGAAAAAATCAACTAAAGTCTGAAGTCTCATCTTCTGAATGATCTGTGAGCGAGACTTTCAACTTTTTCCATCTTGGTGCAACTTCTTCATCAGTGAACCTGTGAAATCTAGAATGTAAATCTTTCCAGAGTCCAGTGATGGCATGGATAGTCACAAGGCAGCCGTTTCCATCGCAAATGGGAGAAATTGGCTGCAAAGGATGGATAAACAAGACCAAATCCCAGAAAAAGTACATCACATAGCTCTCAAGGCTTGAAAATAATCCTCTATTCTCTAAGACTATCTGCAGATGCCCTGCAGATGCTGGGAGTTGGCCACGCCCTCTGGCTTGTTAGTGGAGGCTCCTAGGCCCTAGGCTTCAGTTCCTCTTTTCAGGCCCACTGGGACGGTTCACTCTGCTCCCTTGGCTTTGGGCACCCCTATTCTAGTTTATTAGTGACCATCCCAGCCCCTCAGCTCCATTCTTCTGCTCCTTGGGCATAGCAGCCCCACCCCCTCATCTTTGGGCAGTAGTTCCATCCCTGGCATTCCTGTCCCTGGGCAGTAGTGTTCCATCCCTGACATTCCCTGTCTGCTCCATCCCTATCTGTCCCTCCACCCGTGCTGCGGATCTTTTCTCGGAGGAAAACAGCTTAGTTCCACAATAGAATTCCAAGAGGGGGACAGTGTTCTTTCTTCCTCTCCCCATCAACCTTAAGCCTACAGGTTTCTGCTGTCCTGGTTGTGGCTGTCCCGCAGTGTCTTTAATGTGTGTGCACAGCCACGTCCTCAGGGAACATTCGGGGACACAGCTTGCCCAATCCATACATTTTGTTTCAATGATACTCTACACAGCAAGGAGACGCCACTGGGCATCTTGTCACCCCCAACATTGCCACCCCATTGTCCAGTCATGTCCCTCATTTTCTTGTCCCCCAGTCATGTCCCTCACTTTCAATGTTCAGACGTCTAGCAGCGTCCGTTGCTAGTGCCCTATGTATTCCCTGGAGCTCTGTGGCTCTCCTGGCTTCTTTCTCCATGCTTCCCAGGAATGATCTCTCAGGGATATCTATCCTTTTACTGTTAGCTCCTTCAAACTCTTGTAGGCTCTACCCATGACCCAGTTCCCAATGGTCCCCAGATCTTTGGTGTCTGTTTAAGTTGGACTCCCACCCCTACCCACACCCCCGCCCTACTCTGCCAGTGCCACACAAGTACTGTGGGTGGGGGCTTGACCACACCGACATTGGTTTTCTTTAGGAAACTTGAAGTGGGGCTTGTCGCTTCTGAGCCTCTGGTTCCTGAGTCTTCTTCATGTGGTGGCACCTCTCTCCCAGGCTTTGTCCGTCATGCTCTTCTGTGTAGAGGGAGGCCCTACCCTCCCTCCCTTCTTGGATGGACTGTGAGCATAGATGAGGAAGCGAGGACCAGCAGCTCCTGATGTGAGGCACAGTCCAGTCCTTGGCGCCAGTGAGGGGCAGCACTGTCAAGGGCTGGTGGCCTTTGCGGAGGGGCTTGGGGAGCTCCGTCAGAGAGACTGCTTTGTTGTAGGGGAGAGAACAGAAGCCTTCCTCTTCGCATGTTTGCATGTGTTGTGTGTATGCGTAAGGAGCCCTAGTGGCCTAGAGGGCTATGGGCTGAGCTGCTAATAACCACATGGTCTCAGGTTTGAACCCACCAGCCACCGCTGTTTGGTTTTTTAGTAAGTGTGGGCAGGGGTGTGCAGCACTCAGGTTCCAGGGGCAGATCCCCTGTCAGACAGGGAGGACCCACCCAGGAAGGGGCAGAGCCAGTGGAGATTGAGGCAGGCCAACAAGGCTGCCAGGAGTCGCTGTAATGGGGGAAGCGAGACTGGGCTCAGAGATTGTCTGGAATCACTAGTGCCCTCTGAAAGCATGCAGTGTGATGCCAGGCAGAGGGCACTGGCCAGGGCTGGTGGGGCACAGGTGGGCTCCAGTTCTACCTGGGCTTCAGCCCCAGCTCACACCCTATGCAGCAAGTGGACTTCCTTCCAGTGGCCCAGAGGTCTGTCCCAAAAGCTCAGTGTTTCCATCAGCACAACCCTCCGGGGCTTGCACATCAAATGCCATTGCAACCCCAATAGGATGACCCTAAGGGCAGGGCCGGCAGGAGTGACAGCCCCCAGGGCAGGTGATGGGAGCTCCACCCCAGCCCAGCCCCTCCAGTCTGCTGATCCACTCCTTGGGCGAATTTACCATCTGCTGCTCCATTTCCTGAGTGTGGGCTGACTCACTCACCAAGCAAGTGAAACAGTGTGTGATGGATTATTGGGGGGGGGCGCTGAGCATCTCATCTCTGCCTGTTTACCTCTCAGGAATAGGTGCGCAATCAGTTTCCTGACCATGGCAGATCGTCAGTCTTTAGGTACGTACCTAGACAACCTGCCATGGTCCGGAAACTGACCTCTTCCTGAGGGGTCTCTTGAAGTCTTTTGTGACCATCAGAGCATGCTGGTGGTGGAGTGGCTTGGTTAGTAGTCTGAAATGCAAACGAGAACATTTGGGCAAAGAGAACACACGTTTGCTTCAGTGGTATGTGAAAACCCTGAAAACCGCTTGTCTTGGAAACTGGCAACATCAAGACAAATGATTTTCAAATGCATGTGTCCCCAAGAGCAAGGGAACCCCACATAAGCAGGTTGCCCATCCAGCTCAAAGGCTTCTTGGGTCTCCAAGTACTGGGTACTGGGGCCAGCCCTGCCCCTGAAGTAACCTTTCTATGCTTCTAAACGGGGCCCCCAAACACGCGGAAATCAGAGAGCTGGCACAAGCTTAGGGTTCCAGTGTACCAGCTTTAATCCGTGTGCATAGAAATTGCCCAGTCACGTGTTCCTGCAGTCAGGTTGGCTCTGGCAATCCACAAGTGGCGGCATTCCTCACAGGACGCACCCGCCACGGAGACAGCGGTGACGCTTCCTTAGTTGTGTTTCCGCCCTGAGGGATAGGAAGGAGAAGGGTTCTTTCAAAGTCAGATGCTTTGTAAGCTTACTTAACCCTCTGAGTTGTGAAGTCAAGGGCCTATTTGTAATCAAATCCGGGACCTCTGGCGGTCCCAGACTTCCCTCAAAGGTTCTTTTGGCCTATGTGAATCTGTCCCCCATCCTGAGTTCCTTCATTCCATCATTTATCCAACATTCCATTTGACAATACCTGGCACAGACCAGCATCTATCCAGTGAGACCAGCTATACAAATACACATCCACTTCATCTAGCCAACCGACCCAACCAACCATTCTGTAATACAGCCTGCCAATCACATTTCTATTGAACTTTATCCTATAATCCAATCCACCCAAGCAACCGTCTCTCCCCTTCAATAATCCCTCTACCTAACCATCTAATCAATTTCTCCACCCAGTCCCATTCCCCACCTCCACCCCTGCATCCACGGTTCAATCTTAGTGTATCTGCCCTTGGCCCAGCTTATCCACCCCAGTTTATCTGAAGAACTTGTTCTAGAGGGGCCTTGCATCACACATTCAACTTACCCACTGCCACAGTGCCCCTTATCTGTGGCCCCCCCTGGAGTCCCCTCCTCACCTGTAGGGAGGCCCAGGCGCCTCCTGGGCTTGTGTGCTTGCCGGCGCCTCTTGCCTTTCTTCTTGTTCACTCTTCCTGCCAAGGGCTTTCTGCCCCTGGAGTGGCTTTTGCAGGGGGCAGTGACCCTCGTGGGTGGGTGGTGGGCGTGCATGGTCTGTTTGGAGTGCTTTGGGGGCGGGCTAGCCTGTGGACTCTGGCTTTGGTGGGCCAGGCTGCGGTGGCTCCCCGGGCAGCGGTGGCTGGGTGGGTTCAGGCTGGTGCCTCGGCTGCCCCGCTGGCCCAGACTGCAGCCCTGGCAGTGGGAGCTGCAACTGCAGAAGTGGCTGCACGTGTGGCTCTTGGACCGAGAGCTTCTGTGGGACTGGGGTTGGGTGATGGGAAGGCTCTGGGTCTTGGTGTCCATGGGGGGCCCACACTTGGAGGGGGCAGAGCCACCTCCTGCTCCTCCTCTGCCAGCAGGCCCAGCTTCCCAGGGGCCCTGTAGCCCCCGGTTTTATAGTTGGGGCTGATTGTGATGGCACAGGCCACAGAGGATGCAACAAATGTGGCCTGGCCGGGAGATGCCCCCCTCCCACCCACCGTGCACCCTTGGGCTGGAAACTCTCCGAGGCACCCTGGGTATGCCCATCTGTTGGTCAGAGTAGGGACCCCCGGGCTAGGCTGAGCTGTGTCTTCACCTCAGATCTGCTCGTCCCTTACAGTCACCTCCCTCTTGGGCCCAGTGCCGCCGC